AATTTTGAGCACGATGTAAGAAAAATATTACAAGAAAATGATTATGTGTAGACTCCAAGTTGCTCATCATAATAAAGCTCTCACACCCCTGACAATTTTCTTCTGCTTATCCAAACCCAAGATTTTGCTACTAGCAAGACGTTTGTTTTGTTTTCAGAAAATAAACCATTCGACCATGCTTGGTATAGGAATGTGTGTGAAAATAAGCAATAAAACCACTCACCAAATTTGCAGCAATCTCCAGCGCTTCCATATGCCTACCCAGGTGAGCCAGACACCGAGCCTGGCCTTCCTGGACATCCCTTTTCATGGCAAAATTGGTTGATGACAATTTTTCAGAGATACTGGAATATTCGCGCAGTGCTTTCTGGAAATTATTTGTTGAATAAAGAAAAGAAAGGTGGAAATATTACAGAAAAAAGGATTCAGAATAGGGATGATTTTTTTTCCCTAGGTGGAAAGTAATGTTATAACTAATGAATTAAATGAATATTTAAATTAATTAAAGAAGATTTCAGTATTCTAGTGATATGGTTTGGCTGTGTCCCCACCCAAATCTCATCTTGAATTGCAGCTCCCATAACCCGTATGCCTCATGGGAGGGACCTGGTGGGAGGTAACTGAATCATGGGGGCCGGTTTTTCCCATGCTGTTCTCATGGCAATGAGTAAGTCTCACGAGATCTGATGGTTTTATAGAAGGCAGCTTCCCTGGACACACTTGCTTTGCCTGCTGCCATGTGACTTTGCTCCTCCTTCACCTTCGGTCATGACTGTGAGGCTTCCATTGCCATGTGGAACTGTGAGTCCATTAAACCTCTTTTTTTTTTTTTTTTTTTTTGTCTTGGGCATTTCTTCACAGCAGTATGAAAATGGACTAATACATGTAGTCAATCCTATTTCCCTAAAAGGTAGACAAGGAATGGCTAGAGAATGTAACCACCACTACCATGGAAAGCACCACGGTATAGTAGAAAGAACATTCCGGGACCAAATACACCTTGAATTCAGGTTTTGCCACTAACTTGCTTTATAACCTTTTCATCAGCAAAATAAAAACAGGATTCTTATGAAGATGAAATGAGATACACACGTAACCTAGCGTCTAGTTGTTAGTTCTTCCTTTTGCTTACACATCTTGGGGTGATTTGCTCCTGTGTCACTGTGAGATATCTGTGCTGGAGGATCCCAAGTAATGAGGAGATACAGAACCTTGGGGAATAAACCTACAAGGGCCCCAAAGAGATCCTTCTGTTGGAGTTACAGGAAACAAAACAAATCATACAGAGCCAAGCAGAAAAGAACAGAAACGCGGGAGCCTCAGATCATAAATACGCATCACAAAAGATTGAATTCACCTTCATAAACACCACACTCACTTGGCACACTGTTATTTACATGTGCTGTCATTGATAAAACAAGAGCCCCTTCAAGCCCCACCATCTTCTGTATGTTCAATTCTACCTGATACTCTCGCCGTCTGTAGGCCAGGTCTCCTTTGAATTTCTTGAGAGTCAGCACTTCAACATCATCACTGCTTTCCGTTTCTTCATAAAACCACTTGAAATCATGAAAACAGTCTATTACAGAGTGAAGCTATGCTTTCTACCTCATATTCAGAAGCAATTTCCAATATAACTGATTAAACCTCACAAAAAGACTTCAAAATGAGACTCGGGAGAAACACACTGGTTTAATTATGGCTCCATTTTTATTAAAATGATCATAAGCTGGTCAGGTGCAGGGGCTTGTACCTGTAATCCTAGCACTTTGGGAGGCCCAGGTAGGAAGAATGCTTGATGCCAGGAGTCTGAGACCAGCCTAGGCAACATGGTGAGAGACCTTAGTTCCACACAATATTAAAAAATTAGCTGGGCAGGCCCGCTGCAGCGTCTCCAGCCTATAATCCCATCACTTTAGGAGGCCCAGGCCAGTGGATAGCTTAACCCCAGGAGTTTAAGACCAGCCTGGGCAACATGGCAAAACCCCGTCTCTACTAAAAATACAAAAGTAGCCAGGTATGATGGTACATGCCTGTAATGCCAGCTACTTGGGAGGCTGAGGCAAGAGAATTGCTTGAACCCAGGAGGTGGAGGTGGCAGTAAGCAGAGATCACCTCACTGCACCCCAGCATGGGTGACTGTCTCAAAAAAAAAAAATTGCTGGGCGTGGTGACATGCCCTGTAGTCCTAGCTGTTCAGGCAGCTGAGCTGGGAGGATTGATTGAGCCCAGGAGACTGAGGGTGCAGTGAGCCACCAACATGCCACTGCACTCCAGCCTGGGAGACAGAGCAAGACCCTGTGTTTAAAAAAAAAAAAAAAAAGCCAGGTGTGGTGGCTCACACCTGTAATCCCAGCATTTTGGGAGGCAGAGGCAAGAGGATTGCTTGAGTCCAGGAGTTTGAGACCAGCCTGAGCAACAGAGGGAGACCTCATTTCTGCAAAAAAAAAAAAAAGAAAAACAAAAACAAAAGGAGCCGGATGTGGGATGTGGTGTACTTGGTACTTGGGGGGCTAAGGTAGGAGAACTGCTTGAGTCTGCGAGATGGAGACTACAGTGAGCCGTGTTCAGGTCACAGCACTCCAGCCAGGGCAGCAGAGTAAGAACCTGTCTCAATTAAAACTAAATTTAGGCCGGGTGCGGTGGCTCACGCCTGTAATCCCAGCACTTTGGGAGGCTGAGGCGGGTGGATCACGAGCTCAAGAGATCGAGACCATCCTGGTCAAAATGGTGAAACCCCGTCTCTACTAAAAATAGAAAAAATTAGCTGGGCATGGTGGCGTGTGCCTGTAATCCCAGCTACTCAGGAGGCTGAGGCAGGAGAATTGCCTAAACCCAGGAGGCGGAGGTTGCGGTGAGCCAAGATTGCGCCATTGCACTCTAGCCTGGGTAAAAAGAGCAAAACTCCGACTCAAAAAAAAAAAACTAAATTTAATAATAAACCAAAGCAAACATTATCACAGGTAATAAGCACACCAATAACATGAGACCTCTCTAGAAAAGCAGCACACAAGCGTATGGTTTTATCTACAGCATTTTCAATACATACGGCTGTAGTGTCTGGGAACCTACATTTATCTAGCATAGTTCATACTAGTTCTTTATTTTGGTATTTATTTTTTTGAGACAGTCTCACCCTGTTGCCCAGGCTGGAGGGCAGTGGTGTGATCTTGGCCCACTCAACCTCCACCTCCTGGGTTCAAGCAATTCTTGTGCCTCAGCCTCCCAAGTAGCTGGTATTACAGGTGCATGTCATCACGCCCGGCTAATTTTTATAAAGACAAGGTTTCACCATATTGGCCAGGTTGGTCTCAAACTCCTGCGCTCAAGAGATCCTCCGGCCTCAGCCCACGCTGGACTCACAAAGTGCTGGGATTACAGGTGTGAGTCACTGCACCCAGCCCACATTGGTTCTTTAAAATGCTTTCCTTTTTTTTTTTTTTTTGAGATAGAGTCTTGCTCTTGTCGCCCAGGCTGCAGTGCAATGGCACAATCTCAGCTCACTGCAACTTCCGCCTCCCAGGTTAAAGCCTCAGCCTCCCAACTAGCTGGGATTATAGGCATGTGCCAACACACCCAGCTAATTTGCATTTCTAGTAGAGACAGGTTTCGTCATGTTGGCCTGGCTGGTCTTGAACTCCTGACCTGGTGATCAACCCGCCTCAGCCTCCCAAAGTGCTAGGATTACAGGTGTGAACCACCACACCCCGCCCACACTGGTTCTTTAAAATGAGATATGCTTTCCTGTAGAAAAAGGGCATAGGAAAGAAGAATTATAGATATGGTGCTATTATGAAAATGTCATAATGGCAAAAAATTAGAATTTTAGCAAAGGAGATAGAAATTAAGGCTAAAAGGAGGCTCCAATGCAACCAAATACCAAAAGCCTGCAAGAGAGAAGTCTGAGGGACTGCCCACCTGGGATACTTTGCGTTTCTACTGATTTAAATGCTATGAATAAAAAGGAAAGTGAGACTAAGACTGCTTGACTATTGAATAAACAATGTACAACAAGGCCAGGCACAGTGGCTCACGCCTATAATCCCAGAACTTTGGGAGGCTGAGACAGGCAGATCACTTGAGGTCAGGAGTTCGAGACCAGCCTGGCCAACAACAGTACAGAAACCCTGTCTCTACTAAAAATACAAAATTAGCCAGGCCTGGTGGCACACGTCTACAATCCCATCTAGTTGGGAGCAGAGGCAGGAGAATTGCAAGAACCCGGGAGGCAGAGGTTGCAGTGTGCTGAGATCGAGCCATTGCACTCCAGCCTGGGCAACAAGAGCCAAATTCCATCTCTCTCTCTCCCTCACACAGACAGACACACACACACACACACACACACACACACACACACACACACTCACTTGACTTTAGAATTCTATGCACCTGTACAGCACATCAGATCTGACAAAGCATTTTCATGTACATTATCTCATTTCACTCTCACAATAACTCTGTGAGTCAGCATGTATTATTTTTCTGAAGGGACAAATAAGGAGCTGACACCTTCTAAAGCCAATACTGGAATTCAAGAGTCCTATCACATAACCAGAGTTTTTTAATGCTCTGCCACGTGATTTCCAAGCCCACCCCGTTTTGAGTCTACGGGATCAAGGGCTGAGGTAACTTTGAAAGATCACATGTGATAAGGAGAAAATGTAACCGAAATAAACAAAAACACAATTCAGTAATTATTGAGTGCCTGGCATCTTGTCAGTACAATTGTGAGGAACTAATGAGACAACACATGCAAAGGAGCCCACCACACTGCCCGGAACATAAATATCCGTTTTCCATAAATATCCCTTTTGACTGATGAGCTATTTACACTCACAAAATAGGAAGCAATACTCTACTAGTTCAAGAATCTTCGCGGAGTCCCTATTACGAATAAAAACTGTTAGGTTTAGCACTCCGGGTCTCAAGACTTTATGCGAATACTGACAAGTGCTTTAAATAGAAGCTAAATGAAGGGAAGGGAGCCAAAGACGAAAATATTTGGCTGGAAGAGGAAATCAGAAAAGACTTCCTGGAGGAGGTGACATTTAAGATGTGCCTTGAAAAACGGATATAACTGAAGGTCTTTGACCGTCAGCGGGGGGTTGGTACAGGCAGGAGGAGCCAGCTGAACACGGAGGGGCAAGCAGGTTTGCCGGACGTCACTGTTTTAGGGGTCCTAACTGCCAGGCTGCAGGAGCAGTGAAGAAAAACCGGAGGTACCGGGGGATTTCAGGGCAGGGGCGTGAGACCAGCCGGCCGTGGCCAGGCCTGGCAAATGCCAGGTGAGAGTCAAGCCGCTGATAACGCGGGGATTCTAGCGCGTGGAGCCGGGATGGGGCCTGGGAAGGCCGCTTTCTCCGTGAAAGGGGAGAGACGACGGGGGAGGCGGCGGGCGCTGGAACCTGCCAGGGTTTGCGTTCGCGCGGGCGGAGGGGCCGAGGCGGAGATCCCGCGGAGAGCGAGGCCTGGGCTCCTGGATGAGGAGAAGAGGCCCCAGCTTCTCACCTGCGGCTCGCAGCGCTTGGCGCAGTAGAACGCCGGCGGTCCTGACCGCCGCTCCGGCCTCTCCTCGAACACCGAGTCCTCGAACTCGCCGCCGAACAACCAGCAACCGGGATCCATCGCGCGCCCGCGGCGAGGGCAAAGAGGAGGTGGGGCCCGCCGGAAGGAGCGGGTATTTATGGCCCAGAGCGCGGCATGCTGGGACTTGTAGTCTTTGAGGGCGACGCGGGACGTGGCCGCTGATGCCTGGGAGTAGTGGTTGAGCTGAGTGAGATGATTATCTGGCCCGCTAACTGACCGAACCCCAGGACTGAGGGTTTGACTTCTCCGTGTCAGGAGATGGACAGAATGGTCCTTACCGGAACGCATCAAAAAGCACGCTGGCCCCAGAGTAGCTGTTTAAAACTCGCAGGTACCTTTTTAAAAATTAAAATGCTGGGCGCGGTGGCTCACGCCTGTAATCCCAGCACCTTGCGAGGTCGAGGCTGGCGGATCACCTGAGGTCGAAAGTTGAAGACCAGCCTGACCAACATGGTGAAACCCCTACTCTACTAAAAATACAAAAGTAGCCAGGCACAGTGGTGCAAGCCTGTATAATAACAGCTCCTCGGTAGGCTGAGGCAGGAGAATCGCTTGAACCTGGGAGGCGGAGGTTGCGGTGAGCCGAGATCACACCATTGCACTCCAGCCTGGAAAACAAGAGTGAAACTCCGTCTCAAAAAAAAAAAAAAAAAAAAAAAAAAAAAAAAAAAAAAAAAAAAAAAAAAAAAAATTAAAATTAAATTTTTTTTGAGACAAGAGTCTCACTCTGTCGCCCAGGCTGGAGCACAGTTGCGCGATCATGGCTTACTGCAGCTTCGAATTCCTGGGCTCAAGCCATCCTCCCACCTCAGCCCCCTGAGTAGCTGGGGCTACAGGCGTGCGCCACCATGCCTAGCTAATTTTTGTATTTTTTGTAGAGACAGGGTTTCACTACGTTGCCCAGGCTGGTCTCAAACTCCTGGTCTCAAGCGATCTGCCCACCTCGTTCTCCCGAAGTGCTGAAATTACAAGCATGAGCCACTGTGCCCGGTGCACGTACCAAGTTTTAACCACTGTGCATTCCTGGCACTGTGTTAAGCACATTTTCTCCTTTCGGCTAACAACCACCTTATGAAAGGCACAGTGGTTCCCATTTTGCAAATCCTATTTTGCAAGATACTGGAGCTTGGAGAGGTTAACTTGTTCAGTTTCAGTAATTACGTGGTTGAAAGTTAGGAAATTCAGAAATGAGTTCGTACTCTCCATGCTTCTGGAGAAGAGACCCTACCACCAATAATCAAGACCCGAGTCATTCACGCATTTATGAAAGAGAAGATACAGAAATATACCAGGGGAGCCTTGATCAGGGAGCATTCATTGGACCTGGAGAACAGCAAATCTCAAAATTCTAAGACTAACATTTACTACAATTCTTATACTTTTAAGATACTTCTTGACTCTAGAAAGTAGAGATTGTTGACAAAATACTAGCCAATATTGTACAGCACAATATTGTGCCATATTACTCAGTAGGTAATAAACATAAAGGTTTTCCCCGATTTTTTTCCTATCCCTCTTCACTCTCACCAATTCCTCTTCCACCATTTATTTGTCTGCCAGGGTTCATTCGTTCGTTCTTTCTTTCTTTCTTCCTTCTCAGGCAGTGCTGAAGGAAGTTTCTTTTTAAAAAAAAAATATTTTTTTTATTTATTTCTGACACAGCGTCTCGCTCTGTCTTCCAGGCTGGAGTGCTGAGGCCCAATGTCGGCTCACTGCATCCTCAACCTCCTAGGCTCAAGTGATCCTCCCACTTCAGCCTCCCACGGGCCACCACGCCCAAGCTAATTTTTTGTATTTTCTGTAGAGAGGAATTCTCTCATGTTGACCAGGTTCAGTGTTCTTTCGCCAACCCAACATTTTCCTCCATAAACCCACCCTAGGGGAATCTAATCAATTCCCCCAGATTTCAGAATCCACCTCTCTGCTAATTATTGTCAAAATCTAGAACCAGCTCTTTTATCCAGCGGCCTGGGGTGGGAGACTCCACCTGAACAGCCTCCAGGCATTAGTTACTGATGAATTAATTCATCATGACCCATTTAAAAACATTTTTCTTCTGAAAGGGTCAGGAAGTGTTAGGGTGCTGATGGATAAAATGTACTTCTTTGCCCTTTAGAGGCAAAGGATTCCTGGGCTCGGGTCTTTCCAGCCTTTTTACCACTAATGATCCTTTCAGTTTCTCCCTGAACGTTGTGAAGAATTTGTGTATAAAATAAAACTGCATTTATTAACTAGTAATTGTTTCATTTTCCTTTAAAAAATAGAATCCAGGCCAGGTGCAGTGGCTCACGCCTGTAATCCCAGCACTTTGGGAGGCCAAGGCAGGCGGATCACCTGTGGTCGGGAGTTCGAGACCAGCCTGACCAACACGGAAAACCCCGTCTCTACTAAAAATACAAAAAAAAATTAGCCGGGCTTGGTGGTGCATGCCAGTAGAGGTGGAGGTTGCGGTAAGCCAAGATCGCGCCATTGCACTGCAGCCTGGGCAAGAAGAGTGAAACCTTGTCTGAAAAAAAAAAAAAAGAATCCAGATCCTATATAACAGCCAATCCAAATTTCTACCCAGCCTAAGTCTACCAGCATTGCCTCATTGTTCTACATTAGAATTCCACTTGAAAGCAAAGCAGCAGCTGTTACGACCTTGGGAAGCCTGAGGAAAGGTAAAACATGAATAGCATTGGACCTCTGGCAATAATGAAAACAGTTCCAAGGTTCCTATCACTACTAAGGACCAGTGGTCTGGAACCCAGAGTTATACACCACTGCCTCATTTGACAGAGAGGCACTAGGGTAATTGTAATTTGACTGTGGCCAGGTACAGTGGCTCATGCCTGTGATCCCAGCACTTTGGGAGGCTGAGGTGCGCAGATCAGGAGTTTGAAATCAGCCTGGCCAACATGGTGAAACTCTGTCTCTACTAAAAATACAAAAATTAGCTGGGCGTGATGGTGGGCACCTGTAATCCCAGCTACTTGGGAGAGTGAGACAATATAATTGCTGGAACCCAGGAGGCAGAGGTTGCAGTGAGTTGAGATGGTGCCACTGCACTCCAGCCTGGATGACAGAGTGAGACTCCGTCTCAAAAAATAATAGTAATAATTTATGATCAATTTTATGATGAGTTTATCAGGGTATTAAATGCAAAATTTACAAAAATTTTAAATTACAATGGTTTTATCAGGACAAACCCCATTGTAAGTCAAGAAGCACCTATATCTGATAAAGCTGTAACATCCAGAATAAAGAACTAAAACGCAACAAGAAAAAGGCAATCCAATTTTCCTAATGGCAATATCACTCATCATTAGTGAAATGCAAATCAAACCACGAGACACCACTTCATACTCACTAGGATGGCTATAATTTTTTTTATTTTTAGATATGGGGGTCTCACTGTATTGCTCTTGCTGGCCTCTAACACCTAGGCTCAAATGATCCTCCCACCTCAGCCTCCCTGGTAGCTGGGATTACAGACACAGACCATTGCGCTGGGTTTATAATGACTTTTTAAAGCTGAAAATGAAGGGTGTTGGCAAAAATGTGGAGAAACTGGAATGCCCGTATATTGCTAGTGGAATGTAAAATGGTATAGACGCTTCAGAAAACATTTTGGCACTATGGAAGAGTTTGGTGGCTCCTCAACAAATTAAACACAGAATACCACATCATTCAGGAATACTACTCCTGGATATACTCAAAAGAACTGAAAATGGGTACTCAGATACTTGTATGCCAATGTTCACTGCAGCATTATTTACAATTGCCAAAAGGTGGGGGAAAAAAGTTTCCATCAATAGATAAATGGATAAACAAAATGTGTGGGGGAAGTGCATGTGTATACACACACACATATAATAAAACATAATTCACCCATGAAAAGAAACAAAGTCTTGATATATGCGACAACATGGATGAACCTTGAAAACACGGTAAGTGAAATAAGCCAGACCCAAAAAATATTGTAGGGTTCTACCTCTTTGAAATATCAAGAGTAGGCTGGGCATGGTGGCTCATGCCTATAATCCCAGCACTTTGGGAGGCCAAGGTGGGTGGATCGCCTGAGGTCAGGAGTTCAAGACCAGCCTGGCCAACAAGGTGAAACTTCATCTGTATTAAAAATACAAAAACTAGCTGGGTATGGTGGTGTATGCCTGTAATCCCAGCTACTCGGGAGGCTGAGGTTGGAGTGAGCTGAGATTGGACCACTGCACTCCAGCCTGAGCAACAGAGTAAGAGAAAAAGAAAGATCAAGAATACACAAATTCAGAGGTACCAGGGGCTGGGGCAGTGGGGAGTTATTGCTTAATGGTTGCAAGTTTCTGTTTGGGTTGATGAAAAACTTTTGGAAACAGCGGTGAAGGTTGTGCAGCATTATGAACATAATTAATGCCCTTGAATTTACACTTAAAAGCTGATATGATGGTAAATAGTATGTGACATATATTTTACAATTTTTGAAAAATTGACTTTGTTAATAAAATGAAAAAAGTCACTGTAAACTACTAATCACTACTAACTTTTATTTTGTATTCAAGGACACAATCAACCAGAAGAAGAGGGTTCTTTTGCTCTGTCAAATAAATATATTTAAAAGCTAGCAAATGTCAGAGAAGAGTTTTATCAAGCCTATAAAAGAGATGAGGGAAATTTATTAATAGTTATTTACAGCTACACAGAGTTAACATATTGCAAGGGAAACATGAATATATTCAAAGGCTTCATTTCTAATACTTGACATTTCAAATTTTGAGAACATTAAAATTATTGTTAAACAAAACTCAGACCACATTAGCAATGGTTTAAAAAAGGGAGCAATTTAATCATTATATTACAGAGTGCTTTAAGAAGTTTTTAAACGTGTAAAAGAAAAAAAAAAGCTTAGTGCATTACAGTCTTTACATTGCTTTTTTTAAAAAGTTAACAGTAGTATGAAAAAAGCCACCCACAAAGCCAGCTGTCTGAGTGAGGAAATCAGCTACATTGCAGCATTTTGGAATTACTAATAAAGCTATAGTTAAAAAATAAAAAGTTTATAAAAATGAAAGCAGCATGCATATTCAAGGCTTTTTCATAACATTTTCAATG